ACACGCTCAGTTTCCTGGTGAACGAGATGCCGCAGGGCTCGGTGGCTTTCCGGGATCTCTATGGTGTCTTCTATCCAGCGGTGAGCATCAATCGCGGCGTCACCTTGACTATGCACACGGCTTTGGATGCGCCCAAAATGGATTATTTCTAGAGAGAGAAAGAGAGAAAGAGGGAGGAGTAGCGAATTGTGTAAATATAGCTTGACATTTAGCAGTTATCGGTGTCTATATGCATATAAACTTATACTATATAGCCTATAGCATAATCTACATACACTTACTCCACATACTTGTGCTTATTATATGAACGTAGTCTCGGGCAGAACTTAGCGACATATCTACAATCTATTCGTATCTCTATTTAAAACTCAAGACAACGTTTCAAAAACGCTGTAAAAAATAAAAAAAAAATTAATTTAATATATAGTCAGCGTTGCTTGAATCAAATAATTATTCAAAATAATTGAAAACCAAATAAATGTAAAATACACTGAATTAAATATAATATATTAAAATTTTTAAGTTTTTTTGCAATATATAGAAAGCCAAAAATCAAGCACCGTGCAAAACACAAAAAATAAAAAAGAATGAAGAGAAAATAAATCAAATTTAAGTGCATCAATCTAAAAATCATGCAAACCATAATAAACACACAGAAAAAATCCATTAGTATTTAGTCGAGATAGGAAACACGTATACATATAAATAAATATATATCTGTGTGTATTTGCGTGTTTGCCGGAAATTTTTGCGTGTTAAATTGCAAGCCAAAAATTATGATAAATATAAAAAAAAATAAAGGGTAAAAAAAAGCAGTTAAATGCATAATTATTTGCGTGCAAATAAAATAAAATAAAATTACAAATGCAGAAATCAAATATGATTAGCGAAAAATGTGGTCTGGCCATGGCCACAAGTATTTAGTATTAAGACTGAATGCAAGTTTTTACAGGCAATCGAAATTTAAATTGAACCAAAAAGAGAGGAAAAAAAAAAAACAAACAAACAAAATTATAAAAAACCCTACTTCAAAGTTCTCAATGTTAAATGTGCAAATTTTCATAATTATAAAAAAAAGAACACCCACACTCACAATCAAAAAACACAATTTGCTTAAAAATATTAAATTAATTATCATTCTTAAATATATATGTATGTATACATTAATATTAATTAACATACTTATTATTAAGTTTCATGTAAATATCAACATAATCTATTTTATATATTTACATATATAAATATTTTCATTTAATGTAATTACTTCACAAACACGGGCTATGAATGTTTGTTTACTATAATTATAAATATTATTATTTTTTTGTGTGAGTATACTTAATATACATATATGCATAAATATTTGCTAGTTTTACGTGTGTAATATTTAAACATAAATCCCTTATTTATACCTTTCCATTTTAAGCATATACACAAATAAAATAAAACACTAAAATGCAACGACAAATTATCGTAAAATTAAAATCTCTATGCATGTTTAATATCTATAGTTGTAATAATACTTATAATAATAAAATAATTCAGAACATGATAGAAACAAACAATCGAACAGGAACAACAACAAATCCTATTTTAATGGCATCAACAAAAACAACAACAGCTGACACGAAATTATTTATAAAGTCATATTGAAAATAAATAAATATTGAAATTGCAGATGAAATTTTGTGGAACAATTTATTGCGGAAGCGCCCATTGGCAAGTTGGAGTGTTAGCGGGACCAATAAATTTTTGAAATATTTCTATTTGTATAATCGACGTGTTTGCCAAAAGATCTAAAGGTCTAATTAAAATTCAGCGTGCTCATATATGTGAAACGAAATGCTAGTTGGATATTTGAAAATTAAAATAGGCCAATTAGAACATATTTTCATATTTATGTTCCATATAAGCGATAAATATGAAATGGAGCTGAGATTAGAATTAACTAAATATGCCAAAATGAGCGCAATGGCAATGGTAGTCCAAAATGCTCTCATCATAAAATGCTCTTCATTTATAAAGAAGCTGTGCTAGGCCAGAGGAATGAAGCGGCTTTCGTTGCCAATCAGTAGCTGCATGCCTGGGCAATTGATCTATTACTTAAGGCATTCTCTCTATGCAAAAATTTGGTTATTCCTAAGGGAAATTAAAATATTATTAATATTATTATTATTATTCATATATATAATT